CTCAGTTTGCCGCTGAGTGCATCGCAAATCTAATCTGATTCCACTGTTGGCCTACTCCACAATGTCGCGGTTCTCCTAACTCCTGTCCCAGCTTCTCCTCATCAAGTGAGCAGACAGATGGATGGCGCAGACGATGGTGAGCTAATTGAGGAGGCGATTTCTACCGATGACCGATGAGTCGAAGAGTGAAGCGAAACAGAAATAGTGTATGATCCGACTCAACGCAGGTAGACCAATAGGATCTGTAATTTTGCACTGAGCCACGCCACCAGTTGCTTACAGCTATGTGGGCAATTTGGGTCAATGTGCCCGTTGAACTAGAACACCATGTAGCCGTTCGACGAGAGCTGTCTAAAATTAGTGCTAAATAAGAACAGCCGGTGATCCGCGCAGAACTGAAGTAGTCGATCACCGTTGTCTGTTCGCCGGGCGGGTAGGGCGAAGTGCCCTCCTAGACAGGCTTCGGATGCGCTCAGTTTTCCAACCTGCGCGTTAAAATCACCTGCCAGCACTATAGTATCAGAGTTGCGGCTCAGCTGAATGAGTTTGGCCAGTTTGTCGTAAAATCCATCCTTTTGTGAAGCGGGACTGCAGTTGGTTGGTGCATATGCGGAAATTATGAACAACACCTTTTGGTGTTGTCCTTCCGAACACTAACTGAGCTCTGGAGTCTCATTGCGCACAGACAACTATTGCGAGTATCAAATCTATCATGGAGGTTTCAGCTTTATCGTTTAGTACGATTCCTTCATCACACTAACCCAGTGAGCGGGCTGCGTCGTCTCCTGATGTGCGAAGGTAATAATTCGAGGACAGACCCGGCGCATTCAGGTGGCTTTTAATACTAGGATCTTGAATTCGTGTCTCCGATAAGCAGCAGACATCGATTTCTAGAGACGCGCAAGACACGCCTGTTGACCTACCTGCATAAGAGTCCTCACGTTGAAAGCCCCCAGATTCAGTGATTGACGAGGCTTCAGAATCTGCACTTTATTTACAGGAAAACTAGTTACAGTGCTATTTGGCAACGACGTTTGGTGAGCGACATCCAAGTTGCTTGAGGGACTATTACAAGAAGAAAGGGTAAAGAGATAGGGTTGGGTACGGAGGAAAAAGAGTTAAACAAAGGTTGGGATCTCTGAGCAGTAGCCCAATTATCACTACCCACCCCGCTCGATGCAATGGGCAGCGCGGTCCTGATCATCCTGCGCGACGACCGATGCAGTATGAAATTATTTTTTGTTTGTGTTCATTGGAGCTTTAAGGACGGGTACTGCCGGGGTGTCCAGCCACTAAGCAGGAGAACGATTACGGTTCTCAAGCGAAGCCTTTAGTTTTGACAAAAACCTAACCGCAAGACAGCGGTTAAGGCGGACTGGAGGCCCAATAACTTGGATCAATTATTCCTCCAACACGTTTTATCGACTGAGACGCCGACTGAAGTCGAACCTCCAACCTGGAGGATCAGGAGACTGAACTTCGTCTGACTTCTACCTATTGACCTTCCAGGCATGATTAGATCGTTGGCTCAATAAAAGCCATCCTGTGTAGCTCGCTGGGTCATAGAAGTGCACAAGCCATCACACCACGTCAAGGTGCAGTCTCGTTGTGATTACACGGAATTTAAATGAGATAAACAGTTGGATGCGGGATGGCACCAGAGTAAAGCCATACTAATGCTTCCACTCATCTAATCTGTCAACCCTGGCCAGTTGAATGGTTAGGCGAAAAAAGGTAATCAAAATAGATGCACGAAATTGCAAACCTGATGGTCATGCGAGTGGAAAAATGACTAAAAATACGCGCAAGGAGAGAATCACTGGTAAGTGAAAATCGTCTCGGCTATGCAACAATGTGTCAACAGACGAGACTTGATGGAAACCCCTTTGGAAAGCGCAAAGTTGTGCAATTATGTGCACACACTGCGGTGTGAAACAAAGGAAAAGGAGAATTCAAAAAAAAGTTAACGTACATGTGCTCCGACTGTTTTGAGCGCCGCCAACAAGCAGATAAATAAGCGACGAGCAACTGAGTCGAGAACCAATTCCGGTGGATCGGAACTCAGACCCAAATTGTGATTCATCAACATTGCAGGAGTGGGCCCATTTGGAAACCCGATCACACCGAGATCATCGAATTCAACTAGTAAAGTGGCCGGATGGGCGGCGAGAGCGGTATGCAAGGCTTCCGGACCACCGGCTACACAAACCGACGGTCTACCCGGCATAGGAAGTCCGGGTAAAGCTGGACTGCTTGACGTACTATCAGCTGGCAGCAACGGGACCGGTTGTACTGGGGCGAGTACGGTAACCGGGGCGGGCGATGGAGGAGCAGTGTCCGGAAGCAACGGGGNATCATCTGATTCTCTGTTGGGATGAGCTCTTTGGATTCGACCGGCATCTGATGGTCAGCAATTTGTGGCTGCGCCGGTGGACCCATCGTCACTTCATTTGGGGGTGGCACTCCAACATCCGAGTGCACCAAACAGCCCGATAGAGTGGCCTCGGCATTCAGGGCCGCACCAAGTGGTTCGGGAGGAGGTAGAATATTAGCGGCCTCCACAATATCTGACACTTCAGGCACATTCATGTGGAACGGATTGATCAGGAACTGGGGAAAAAATAGTAAAAAAAAACAGTAGAGGAAGACAGACTTTCTAGCCAACCATAATTAGGATTACTGGCAAAAGCTAATGAAGCCTAACGAAACAATAGAGGTTGTATTGTACACTCCGGCTCGCCTACACGCCCCCACATTGTGGATGTCTGATTCTGCGTTTGACTGTTTCAGGGCTGATTTGATCAAAGCGAGTTCAGGCATTCAATTCAGCAAAACATCCCGACCATCAGTAAACAATTAGGGCGTTCGTGAAAGATGTGATACACTCTGCTGATAAATGCTCACTCTTCTTCCTTCAAGTCACCCCGCGTGAACAAGTCCGAACGTTGAGACCGTATTAGTTAAAGGTTTCCGGCCGGTGTCACTAACATTTCATCGACATTTCAAAGGAACGTAGGGAACAAATTTGATACTATACAGTAACTGGATGTCATCTGTTTTTGAAATACACTCCGAACCAAAATGCTATTCAAATTTAAACAACTTTTTCCCATAAAGAACTTGAATAGAGAATACAGTAGGTTTAGGTTGCACAATTTGTATTCCTATGTATTTCGCTGTATCTCATCAGATGTATGAATACTACAACGATATTTATATATATATATATATCCGGACTCGAATAGTGCAACGTACACCTATCGTATTCACAACTCAAATTGCGCTTGCGAAAACTCTCAGATAACCTCGAGCGTGCTTGATCTCGTGGTAACAAGCGGGACCAGTGTAATTAACAATAACGAGCACGGAATGGAAAACTTACCCTGAACAATTCTTCAGATGTCATGAGTGGTTTGACTGAACTGGTAGCTGAACCGCATTCGTCTGGTGTTTGTAACCCGGTGGCTGAGAGATTTGAGACAGAATCGGCAACCGGATTGACGGGAGTTGTGGCCAAAGGAGTCGGGGCGACAAACTCCACGGGAGTCGAGACCGGCAGCGTAGCACGCGGGTACTTCTCACGTAGTAGTTCCCGATAGCGCACGGTTCGATCTCTTGCCCAAGCTACTGCATTGGCTGTGGCCAGGCCAAAGCCAACACACTGTCTACGGTTTGTCTCATTCGGAGTTGACCGGGCTGGATCATCGCCAGTGTCGCGCACCATGACCGGATGGAATGGAGGACCTTCAACGACAAAGCAAGTCTCCGGGGAATGTTCCAAATAGTGAAGAAGATAGCTAAAGAGAAAAAAAATGGAAGACGTCAGTGAGATGGTTGTATTACCTTGATTCAGTCTTGATTCATGACTATTCTGAGAGCATTCGTTGTACGGAAGGTCGAGTTTCCTTTGATAAACAACTTCCAGTGTTATCTATTGTAGAGTCACCGCACCAAATTGTATTGTGAGCCATAGTCAAATAGATGAATGTTCTTTGCCTAGAAGCAAAATCCTGGGACCAAATAAATACAAATCTGAAATAAATGCTCGTTTATACCGAAGGGTGTTCGACGATACGAAGATTCCTCAGTTCATTTCACCTATTTACAAAGATGGCTGCAGAAGTGATCCTGTGAACTACCGTCCAGTTACACTTCTTCTTGTTCTGTCAAAAGTAATGAATCGATTGTGGCTGATTCTCTGATGGAGCAAATCGAGAAGTACAACACTATTTCGCCGGCCCAACACGGGTTTCGAAAACGCTCGTGCACCACAAACCTACTACTTGCACGATATGAGTGGACAAAATCAGCTGACACGGTGAGGCACTAGAGGTAGTCTACTTAGACCTCTCGAAAGCTTTTGACAGGGTTAATCACCGTATAGTGCTGCGAAAGCTCCATAACTGTGTTCGAGGACTGCTCCTTGACTGGATTAATGAATTTCTTCAACAGCTTACCGTAACGGTTCGAGTTAGTGATTCTCTATAGGGACCGATTGAGGCTGGTTGTGGAGTTCCAAAAGGTTCCGTACCACTTCGTAGCATTCAAAAAAGAACTACCCGCTGTTTTTGGAGAAAAGGCATTATTACTCGCTGACGACGCCGAAACATGGAGGACGGTACAACTTCCTGAAGATCATGAAACCCTTCAGGAAACTCTTGACGCAGCTTACCAATAGTCTATCACTAATGACATCCAACTCAACGTCGAATCGTTGCATCACGGGAGGCGCTTTCCATACTTGCTTGGAAATCAGACATTATCGCGTGCTCCCAACGAAAAGGATCTGTGAGTGAAGTTCGTGAAGACCTAGGATGTTTCACACTGCGCAAGAGCGTCTTCAGAAGCGATAAAGCACACTGGATTGCCGAAGTGTGTTATTGGATCTTTCGAAACAGACCTATTGCCCCGTTTATTATCAGTATACATTAGACCACACACCGAGTATGCTATACAAGCTTGGAATCCAGTACTCGTGAGTGAACGCCAGAATTTGCTATTCAATTGTACTACCAACCGAACCCAGGGTGCACAGACCCTAATGGATTCAATAAGTATCAGTTTTGTAATTTTTTCCATAATAAAAATTTGAATGAATCGATGGCTGCTGAACAGACTACTTGAGGTGGAAGAGAGTTCCAGGTGTTACAAACTCTGAGGCTGAAAGGATGACGCCTGCAGTCGGGCCGGCTCTTTTGGAGAAACTGTTTAAACGGATGTCCTCGGAGGTGACCATTCCTGGATAGTGTTAGTAGAGTACTACACGGATGGTCAGGTTGATGTAGTATTAGATATACGAGGATCATGTCTCCCGTATTCGACGGTATTTAGACGAATAGAGTCCAAGAATTTGCAGCCTTTCAACGTAGGTCTTAAATTATAACCTTTTAGCCAATTTTGGTTGCTGTTCTCTGCGGACGTCCGACTGCCTTTGGGTCGCCAATCAGCCATGGATTCTAAGCTTGTATAGCATACTCAGTGTGTGGTCTAATGTATACTGATAGAAAACGGGGCAATAGGTCTGTTTCGAAAGATCCAAAAACACGTTTTAGCAATCCTTCGTACTTTATAGCCTTTCATGACGCTCTTGCACAATGTGTGGAACATCCTAGATTCTCACGAACGATAACTCCCAGGGCCTTCTCGTTTGGAGAACGCGGCAATGGCTGCTTCCCAAGTAATTATGGAAAGCGACCCCAATGAAGCATTGGAACGCCTAACTTTTCAGCACCGGTAAGTGTACGTTATAATGTGCTATTCGATTGTACTACCAACCGAACCCAGGGTGTGTATGAATCCTAAGGGATTCAATAAGCATCAGGGTTGCAAAGTTAACCATATTCATAATTTGAATATTCCTTTTATGAACGATATGGCTGGTAGCAATTGCGTTCCATGCAGCCGGTGTAAAAACGTCACAGGTTAGCTAGCAGATAGCATGGCGGACAAACGTGAGAGTAGCGTCTACGTGTGGGTTTAAGTCTGCTTTTTTATTATCAAAAAACTTCAACCAGACGGATTCAACTGGGAAATCCGGTTCGACTAACGAACCGATATATTGAATTCAAAAATGACCAGTTGAATCACAATAGCATGAGCTAATCAATAGGAGTAGGCTAAGTTACCATTTAACGCCTGTCGGAGGCGAGTGGTTAAAAAAAGTGGTCTTATGAAATGCCTCGGGGGAGGGTGGGGGAGGGGGGGATACAAAAGCCGTGATCGTGCAAACTAGTCAGCTGATAGGAGATCGACTAGTATGTCGTAGTTAGCTACCACTCCAAGTTGTTTCCGATCATTTTCGATTCAATCTTATCAATTTTCAGTCTAAGACTCGTTGTAGGGAGACAAAGAAAACAAATNACAAATGTATACATGTGTGCTTGGGCGCAATGCTAAAATGCGAAGAAGTTATTCAAGACACACCCTATATGATCCTTGTCCGGGGGTTAGCTAGGCTAAATAGTCGGATAAAAATAAGATCCATGTGTGAACCTCGAACAGAAGAGTGGAACTCGGGGTGGGAGAGGGGCACCCAGTGATAATTGCTCCGTTCGGGGGGTTATCGGATATGTTTGGGAGGAAACAAACGAATCTGGTCACTATACAGACAACAAATTGAGCCCTGAAAATGAGCGCGAAGTAAATAACGTCTATTTAAAGTGAAATACTTGCAAGCACGTATGGTGTCGCTGTGGCTCTTATGATTGTAATGATTCATCTGACAAATCTCAAAGGTAATAATAATGATAATAATACTTTACAGTGGAAACTAATGTTTATTCAATAGTGCACAGTAATTTGGAAGTCACTGATTTGAAAAGGCAACCTCAGAGGATGAAGACGAAACTTTTGCAGTCTAATGATCAAACCAGACGATCAAATAGTAGATGCCACAAGCACTGATGATGTCACCTCGGCTGGTGATGAAACGTTTACAAACAAATTGCCACGCTCGATGAACAGGCGAGATGAAATTTAGTTCACCCGAGCTACGAGAATCAACTTTCAATACTTTGACAAATAATCCAGTTCGTACAACCATTAACCATGCACCTTCACGCCGGTTTAGGTTGCTGTCTTTTGATGTCCCACTTGGATAAAAGAGCAGAATGAAGATTGGAACGTTGTAAACAAATTCAAGCGCAAGATGGAGAATCCAAATAGAATAGTGATAGGAGAATAATGAGTGGATGCACGAGCGCCGCTGTTTGCGATACCCAGCCATATCACTCAGTGTCTCTAACCATCGGTGACCACCACCCCGAGGTCCCAAGCCAGGGAGCTTAACAGGACTTGTGACCCAGACTCCCGGTTAAGGTTTTCATGCCCGGTGTTAGGTTAACCACCCTTGGCTTCTTTCTAACCACTATCTGCCTCGGCAAACATCGCTCACAGCGGCAAGCTATCTGGTGACATGCGTAACACATGCCCCAACCAACATAATCTATGCAGGTCGATCACTTGCTCCAGTGAACGACCGCGAATGCCTAGAACGCAACGCATAGCTTCAGCATTTCTCATCCGGCTACCCCAGCAGACTCGTGCAGTGCGACGTAGACAGTAGTGTTCGAACACCGATAATCTATTTCTATCCTTTATTACTTCCCCAGTTAGGGTGAGACTGGGTGCTGGACAAACCCAATCTTGTAGTAGCACTTTACACTTTGAAGGTGTAAAACGCATACTGATCATGACTTTACTAGCACTTAAACTGTCCAGAAAAGCTTGCAACTTACCTGGATCTTCACTTAGTAGCACAGTGTCATCTGCGTACCCCAGATCAGACAGTCTGCCACCTGGAATCGATACCGCTATTCTCGTACGAGGATAGGGCTGTTTCAAGAATTGAATATATCACGAAGTTAAATAGAAACGGGCATTCCCTTCAGGGAAAGACAGCACCAGAGTTTAGAGCGGTCGACTGAGTGGAAAGTCGCTTTTAGATCGAGGAAGATAGAAATGCTGGGTCTACGGAAAGTGTTTATATTCTAGAATTTGACGAATTTGTCAAGTAGAGAATCTAACAAACAGATATTTCTAAGAGCTTTGTTGCGAAACCGTATGTTTAAAGAAAGTTTAATCCGTGGTGGAAAATCCGAATAAGTCCGCAGCCATAAACAGAATGACAACCATCTAAGTTGCAACGAAAGAAGATTTGAAGAGGTTCCAACAAAAGCCTTGACAATGCTTCGCTTTACTAGTGAATGGGACGAACTGACAGGCGACATGGTAACCCAGATATTAGGTCAGTACCATTAGAAATCGATATGAGATATCAGTCACAGCATCCACTAACACGAACGTCGCGATTCACACGACTACGCACACATATACACAGATTGCTACGGATGTGTTTACTCGATTCTAGGCTACCGTTGGATGAGGGTCAGGTTGACTGTAGCGGACGAGAGAAAAAACAAACGATAAGCTTTGCTGTTGCACCTTGGCGCTTGGTTTATTCTTTCTATCGGCTGGGCTGCACATGTTAATGCTGGGAACTGCTAAAAGGTATGTGCATACACTTGGGGGAGTAGATGAAAAGAAACGCGGTGCGTGCAACACGCAGAGTGGACCGGGAAGCTTATTGAGAGGAGTTTAGGAAGCGACACAAATAAGGATAGACATTTGGTCCTTGTGACCGGTCCAGGTGTGAGCT